GGGGGGGGGGGGGGGGGGGGGGGTACTCATGTTATGCATGCCTAAAGCTATTAGACCATTGACTACGCGTCCTCCAGAGGACGGAGCATTGTTCCCACAGGACCGATCACCGATGGCCAATCCTTCCACCCTCCTTTGCCAAAGGTGCCTCAAAAATGAAATCTCTACTCAAAAATGGTGGTGCGGGCGGCGGAAGGGGTCTTCGAAGTTGCGCATGGCTGTATTCCTTCGACCAAAGACGCTCGCATCCCTACAAATACGCATGTCAGGTTTCTGTCGACCAGACGATGTTTTTCCAAGCCCGAACCGTCGTAAGTTTCGTTCCCAGAACCAACCGCCCATGAGGCGGACGGGGGGGACGTTGTGCTTGCTTTTCTTGCACGGGTGACACCTTCGCATGAGATGGCACACGACTGTTTTCGGGTCGGGCGGAGGGAGGTCCGTGAGGGTGATCGTGCAGGTTTGTCAGCCCCGTTTAGCCGAAGCATGCTCTCAAGGAAACGTGTCGGGAAGAAAAGAGAAACGCGGTCTGTTCCGCACACGTTCACCAACCTTGCCGGTTTTAGGGCACACAACGACTAAAGGAGCACCCAAAAGGGCGAAAAAATAATAGCACAAATAATCTGAGACCTCGAATCTGAAACACGGCAATCAATCAATCTCCGTGGGTGTTGTGTTCAAGGTGCTCACATTAACATTCATCTGATGAGTCCGAATCTGCAACACGGCAATCAATGATTGGGCTATGCGCCTTTTCCAAGTGCTCACCGTGAAAAGCCAGGCGGTGGGTTCCTGCAAATCCCGGGTAGTCGTTGAGCGTTCGCCCGATGGCATCAGGCGAAACCTCCACGTATTCCGTGGGCATTTCGAGCAGAAACCTGCGTTTTCCGTCCGACGCACGACACGCAAGGTACACGAGAGGGTTCCGATTTAGGGGTCCACCGCTGGTCAACTATGTCGTGTCCGCCACGGCCCGGTTGTATCGGATTGGGCACGATGTTTTCGGTGGAGCTACGCTCTATTACACAGCAGGACACGCGTGTTGTGTGTGTAGCACCGCTACCGTCAGTGCCATATTTCACTGAATTTCAAGCTTGTTGAGAAACTTCTTGAGAACGTTCTAGTACCTGGAGGGCCCAGCGGAATCTATCCAGGCGTCGTTGAAGCGGCGTTTCTTGCTAAAGGTGATTATCACGTTCTCGCTGGCTCGGGTCAGCGCTACGTACCCAAGCCTTCGCTCCTCTTGCACACGCTCCAGGCTGGACATACGCCAAAAAACAAAACAGTTGGTGAGGGAGGGAAGAGGGTAGTCGTTCTTCACTTGACGGTTAGAGCCTCACATAGGAGACAGTCAGAAGTTGGTGTGGCGCAAAGTCTATGAAGCGACGGGATGGAACACGCGGGAAGACGCAAGAAAAGTCCAACCAAAACACAGAACGTTTGAAGGCGAATGCGAATGTTACCTCTCGACGGCATGCTCCCCATCTCCTGAGTTTGGTAGAAGCGGGAAGCTTCCCTCGTCCCAGCCTGGACGAGAACAAAACGGACAGATAAGACGATTTCGGCGACCATAAGAGTTGAACCCACGACTAACATTTTAGAAACTGACATCAAAACCATGATTTCCGCTTCTAAAGTCTCCGGAGTGTTCCAAAACAAAGCGTATAATAGTCTCCTCCGACACTCAGTCAGCCAGTCACCTGTGAGGAACACCACCTTGAACTCGCGGCCCTTCGCCTGGTGCATGGTCATCATCTGGGCGAAAGGTAGAGCGAAACACAAGAGCCACCGACGAGCGTCAGGGACAAAGAGATAGCAAGGAAGGAGGGCGATTGGTCTGCCCGTCTCGTCACGCGCGAGCCGCAACTCAAGAAACAGCGGGGAGCGCCCAGGCACACGGAAAAGCAGGATGTTCACGGGGCAACGGTCGCTGCATGTAGTAGTACTATACCATACCGTACAGCAACAGTGTAAGTGTAGTTTAGGTGGTCGTGGGGGAAACATGGGTTGTGCTGTTGTGCTTGGTAACTGACACGTTAGTTTCCAGTCGGACGGTGGTAATTATTTACGGTATTCCGTGTACGGTATTCCAAGAAACTACGGTCCCCTCCCCCATCTCACACCTCGAGGGCGTCTTCAGAAGACGGCGTGGTGCTCTGCTTGTCTTTTTTCCCGGTGGTGCCTTCCCACCTCCCCCCACGCCCCCTCCCCTCACCGCCCTTCCTCGCAGCCTTCTTGTTGGCGGTCTCCTCTCTTTTGGGCACACACAAACAGCGAGGGGACAAAAGTACAGGAGTCAGATACAGGGGAAAACCTACGTCTTTCCCCCCTTCCCCGATCAGAAAAAACGCCCCGTGACATGGACGTCCGCTGATCTCCCGTTGAGATATGCATAGATCGCCGGGAAATGAACACGTTCGGCGTGATAGCACAAGCGTGCGGACGGGGTGAGTTACCGACCATGGGATGCTTGGTGCGTTCTCCAGCCTATCACACATGGTCGCGTGACCCGCTGCACGAGTTAAGTATTGAAAGTCGTCTTACCTAGCCCTCGCTGCCCTCAGCAGGAACCGTCCAATGTGGTCGCACCTCGAAGCCGCCGTCGCCAGCTTGCCGATCGACTCCTGGTCCTACATAGACCGAGAATATATCACACAAATAGAGGCACGCACCGGAAGAGGTACACAAATGTAAGGCACGCAACAAATAAAACGGCCGTCTTTACCACCTGTGGACGTGGCCGAAGAGCCAACCACGCAGAGGCGGGAAACCCGGCCACGCTCTCTCCACGCAACCAATCTCTCTCGCCTGCATCAGACACGACTGCAGGTATAGACGGACCCTCAAAAGTGAAGTGCGTTGCTTGTCCATCAGCAAGCAGCAGCAGGTCGATTAATACCGTATAAGACAAAATATAACACACCCACATAGGATGAGACACCCCCCCAACAGAATAAAACACCCGGTGACATTTTCAAAACCCAAAATGTTATCCCCGGGGTGTGTTATTTTGTGTCGTATACGGTATCTTGGTCATTCTCGAGCCACTCACAGGGCCTCCTCCTCCTCCCCGGTGGGGGGCGAAGGAGGCGTCCACCGGACGAGGTAGAAACCCTGCCTCCCAGAAAATTCGCCAGACGGCAGCTCCCCGCTCGGCCTCGTGCAGCCTTTGCCACCCCATCAACAGGGAGGCCCACCTGCACAAAGCGGGCAGAGGCCGGCAAGAAATTCAAATTTGCGTCGTTTTTCGCCTGATCTCGTTCGAACGTACGATATCTATTTAGCAATTTTGACTCGGACGCTTTAGCAACAAGCTTTACATGTTCCGAAAGAGGCTTCCAAGGTGTGTTTGCACACTTCCTCGAGCACATCGAGCACATCGTGCACAATTGTTCGAGCACATCGTGTTGAGAAAGATCACACTCAATCGCGAGAGAAAGTGTGTACGGCGGGAGAGGACCACAACAACCACCGCGAATGCGGCGTTGTTCCAAAAAACAAAGACGTCAGTACACCGCGCGCCGTCGTCCCCAGTCTGTGGCCAACATACCGCCCACCCTTCGTCAAGTCTTGACGCAATATATCTACTGGAACGGAACCGCATCAGACCGCCTCGTCGGCCCCCCGGCTCAACCGCCCACCATTCAGAAGAGAAGATTGCTCATTGTTCTTCGATCCCCGGGTCAAATGCCCACCATTCAGAAGAGAAGCTTGTTCTATTATTTGTTGAAAACACACACATGCGCACCTTCTGAGACCGTAGATGAAGTTCGAAGAATCTTCTCCCTTCAAGAGTCCCCGGCTCACGGAAAGACGTACCCCTTCCGCATAGGAAACCCCGTCCGCTACCGCTAGCTCTCCGACCCCCCGCATCGTCGATGGGGTCGCCCAGTCAAGCAGACGCGTCTTCGATCGGAGCGAAATGAAACGTCGAAACGCCTCATCATCCTGGACAGCCGTGACAGGAGTACAGCCACACACACAGAAGAAGTCGGACAGCGTAAAAAAAATGTTGGTGTAGCAGCGACGGCAGCAAGGGAAGTGGCTCGGTGGGCAGCAAGGCTTACGGATCAGGAGGAAACTAGACCACACCTGCACTACCGTTACGTCGTGACGTTAAGTCTTCAAATCAATACCTTTATTATTGGAACCTGTGTACATACAATCACCCCATCCATATGGCACAAGAAACAACAGTGTGGGCGGGGGCGCGCACGACAACAAAATTTAATTTATACTAGAGCGTAACGACAGGCTGGGTGGCGGGCATTTACCTGCGGGTTTGCGCAGAGAGCCAGCAGCGCCAACGGCGCCTGAACCTCGCCTCTGGAAAAAAACGACGATCCGCCTTCCACAGTGTATGGCACTCCTCTAGCGGCCAAGGCTTCCTCCAACTCCCTCGTGTTGTACGCCGTTCGAGCTATCACCGCCATGTCCTTGTAGCTGGTATATAAAGACGGTCCGGAGTGCAGCAGGCCTGAGAGAGTAATCTAACAACAGAGGTTGGTGTGGACTATGCAGTGTATATTCAAATCAGTTGGGCGGGGATCAACTGCTGTTGAAGAGGAGAGGTGCGGTTTGGTCAGGCAGCCCGTGGGCGCTACGTTTGCATCGTTACCCGGCTTGAAAGATAAGATGCCGGACCGGTGCATGAGTCAGGGACGCAGACAACGTTGGAGACAAACTTCAAATCATTTGCTGCCGGAGTCTTCGAGCGTAGAACGCCGCTGAGAACACCACCAACCTGATGCCTTGCTCCCGGTTCATCTTGCTAGCCTCCAGCGCGACCCACTTTCCCTCCTCGCGGCTGTTCCACAGACCCTGCGCCCGCACAACCGCCCCTGAGAGACACAACAGGCACAGCACGCTGATTTAGCAGAGGAAGGAAAGCAGGGGGTTTCACGGTAACAACATCTCTTGGCTGCCCGAACACAAAGTGCCGTGCAGTGCAAACGTGTTCCCTCTACAACGTTGTTGAATTTTCTGCCCTGCGCTGAGCCTCCAGGGCGCCGATCGCATCGCATGCCCCCGCACGCACTTGCATGCCTCATGATACCACTCTCCCCCCACCCTCCCCCGAAACAATGAGGCGAGATGCACGTATCGTCGAAGCCCAGTACAACGTGGCAACAGCAGTACCCAGCAAATCCACCCGGGTCTAGAGCAGTGTGGAGTCACACCCTTACCGGGCGTGTGCTGCTTGGTCCTCATGCGTCGGTTGAGAAGGGGCACGAGCCCGCCGGCTCGCATGAGGCCCGTCGCGGACCGCAGCACGTGCACGGGTAGGCGGTGGGTCTCCGTCAAGGCGCACCTCACGGCCCCCGGGAAATCTTCCTCGAACCTGAGTCAGGACGAGGGGAAGAAGCGTAACGTTGAGAAACTGCGTGTGGGTGGGCAGGCAAAAAATAAAAGTACTACCTTGGCTTCGATTCCGCATGAACGTGTGGTTCACTAAATATTTACCAGGTAAACCTTTAGAATAAAAATAGCAACCTGATCAACATAACCCTAAAACAAAAAATATGGCCCAGAATTTCAACCTAAGAAATATAACCATGTCCGGCGAGCTGCGAGCTATGATACATGTGCGTTTCTGAATGCGGGAGAGAACGCACGACTACTGCACGGCAGCGACTGGGATGGGAGCCGTAAACGTTGTGAAACTTCATAGAATTCGTCCGGCAATAAACTCCGGGCACCACAAACCAAGTACCGCGCTGTAGATAAACTCTCTTCTTTTTCTTAGTGGGAAAACGAAGAGACAAGAGGCAAGAGACAGACATGCCTGTGAAGATGATCCACGGTTGTGCCTCTCCACCCGTAGATGTGCTGGTCCTCGTCTCCCGCGCAAAACAGGCTCACACCCAGACCCTGGTGGTGCTCTAGCCCCTCACTCTTGCCGGTACCCGCGGCGCCGAAACATTCGCCGTCCCCCCCCTCGCCGATAGCGACCGCCGGATCCGGCGAAATGGAGGCAGGCGTTGCTGAGGCGGCACGCCTCTTCGAAGGAACGCCCGACACCAGCGCCTGGATGGTCCGTCGTTTCGATGACCAAACCATTGTAGGGTAGGAAGGCAAAAAGCACAGAACAACACATGATGATTGCCAAGGACGAGTGGCGAATCACACAGAGTTCGTCGAAATGGATAAAAGGTGCTTGGCTTTTTCCGCTCTACCCGCGGGGAGTGGTTCGTGACCAACATAAACCAATGGTTAATTTTGTACCGTACCCTACCCTTTTACCCCCACGCTCCCACCGCCAGCCCTGAACGCTTGTACCCGCCACAAAAGTTATTGCTGTGAACATTTGGTGAGAATGGGTAATCAGTCTGGTTCTAGAGGCGTTATCTTTGAGCTCAGAATAACTGCCAAGGTACATATTCTGAGTGTCTACTTGTAGACGACTGGACCGACCAAACGGCTGTAGGGCAGTCGACAGGGACCGACGTCCATCGTTGAGTGACGTGACGGCCAAAGCAGTTACCAGAGTCTATCATATAGCCAATGATAGAAGGAAATACCACCAAAGGTACAAGTTAGGCCGATCAGAGAGATAGTTGCGTTGAAGTTTATCATTTTGTGCAGATGACGTATGCATATGTATGTCTCCGTAACGACATTTGGGTAGGACCGTCCGGAAGCTTGACTCTGACAAGCACACACGTCCTCACTCTCACTGCTTACCCTCGGTTCTACTCATCCACAGCTGATTGCACAACCACCTGGTAAACACAAGAAACAACTGTTGATACGGAACACAACCAACCACCCTTGAACGCAAGCACACAAACATCCAAGCGAGAACCTTCTCGAGAAGAGAAGAGTCAGAACCAGACCTCTTCACAGAGACGCGTCCGCTTTTACACACCTTGAGAAGGCGTTGCTGCGCGGGGCTAGTGTCTTGGTATTCGTCCACCAGCACGTGGCGAAAGCGCCACCGATACCTGAACCGAACCAATGGGGTGCGGTAGGCGGAAATTGAATTTGAGCACCATGTAGACAAGTGTATACCATCATGTAAATGCACTATTTTCTCCCCTTTCAAATGTCTAGGGGCACGAGGTTTAATTTCTCTAGTGCATTTTTAAGTCTTAGCACAGGTCTGTCTATCTACGGTCGGGGCGCGGTGTCCAGGCTTACCGCTCGAGAACCTCCGGATGTCGGGTGAAGAGCTCGGTCACCATCAAACAGAGGTCTCCGAAGTCAACCTGTCGACGCCAACCGACACGGAACCAACATCGGAACCAACATCGGAACCGACATCGGAACACAAGGTAAACAAGCGGCGAGGCGGTGTAGACGACAAGCAAAGAGGATGGGCGAAAATGAATCAGCAAATGACGAGAACCACGACCCACCTCAAGAAAAATAACTGGCTGACGAATCACAGCATCTCGTCAGGCAGAGTACCTAAAGGGACACACACGAGATACCGACGAAGCTTGTGGACGTGATGTCTCCCTATAGCATCAGCTGGCATCACCAATAAACTTCAGTGTAAAGGTAGTAACAGACTAAAAATAAGCCCAGTATCAAGCCGGTTTCTTCCCATTCCCCCATTGCAAGGGCTTCAACACATCCCCTTCAACTGAGGTGCTATCTCGAAAGGGTATGATTGTATCCTACTCTCATGAGAAAATAGCGGCCGTGTGTAGGTAGGCTGCAATGCACACGTTGACACCAACAATGGCTGTGGCAACACAGGTCGTGTTTGCACCCAAGGCACGATTGACCCAAACTTCGACGAGAGCTAAATACAACGCACGCGGTCACGTAAAGCGCGGCGCGCAAGGCTACGTTCGTTGCGGGTGCTTGATGGTCCGAAAGCGCAAAACCAGCGTCGGCCCCTTTGAGAGGCAACACTGCTGGACATACCTGGCGTCGCCTGCGGAGGTGCTGCTGGTACGAGGGGTACACAGCAGCAGCTGCTGCATCCGTGTAGTCGTCCGCTTCCATCTGAGCGTTGTAAGCGCAGTGGAGGAGGAGTGGGGGGGGGGGGGGGGGTACTCTCATGTCTTGCATGCCTTGGCGGTTAGATCATTGACCACGCGTCCTCAACAGGACGGAGTATTGTTCCCACAGGGCCGGAGTGGGGTGTGTGTGTGAGGAAGGAGGACCAGCATCTACCGTAGGCGCTCAATAGGAGGGACTGCCGATGGGGCCGGGCGGCGGATATCGAGCCCTCCGCGGCCCTGTGCAAGCTTGGATTTGGCGCATTTTCAAGAATACCAGTTCTCACTGACGTGATACTCTGAGGACCTGGCAAAACACAAGAACGTCTGCCTGCTTGTCTGTCTTTATACCTACCTGCTTGTGTGTATCCCATCTTCCTCCTGGTCCATGAACCCAACTCCAATTGGCTACACTCACATTTGTTGAACGATGCTCTTCGACGGTGATGCCTTGCTCCTTCCAAACGCCTATCCTTGAAAGCACGGTCTTTGCTCTGCACATTTTTTTTGTTGTTGCGTCGCAGCAGTGGGGAGCAGCAGGGTCACACAACGGAAGGATGCAAAGGTGCGGAGACGTTGTCAAACCAAACAGAGGAGATTTTACCACATTTAGGGGACATGTTCGGAAGAATAAATCGCTTAGGGGCGAACGGGCATCGCACGCGTTGGACGGGCAAGCAGCACCGACGATGGACGCAAAGTGCGGACAAGGCCCGAGACGCAAGAGAGAGTCGCAAGGATTGCAACAACCCGGTGGCAGTCATTTACGCCCTCCCCGTGGGATTCAAGAGGTTCTTCCGCTGGTAAAGCGAACACTTCATGTCAAATCTCCCTCTTGCCGGGACCATTCCAAACGCCCGGTCATCTCAAACAACGAAGCGTACTTGGATCGGCATTAAAGAGACTCGCAGACAGCGGTAGTTCGTTTACCGGAGAAAACAACAAGGTTTCTTGCTGTGCTGTGCTACTCGCCAAAAGCACTTGCTACACATGGCATTGTTATGCACCTATCGCGTGCGTCCCCTCGCCGCAGCCAACCGCACCAAAACAGCCTATGGTATCTACGTAGCCCCAGCGCGGTTCACCTGTGGTAGCGCAGAACACGGCTAGAATAAACTGGATTTCTCTATCTACGGTCTACGCCCGATACGGAGTACTGCCGCGTGTGAGACGACACTTCCTCCAGACACAGTTTCAGCAACACCAACCTCGTCTCCAACTCCTTCCTCCGTTGCGCGGTTTCCTTTCCCCGTTCCTCCTTCGTGGGCGGCATGCCCCAAGACCCATTGCTCCTGCCGCCTGCTGTTGCCGACCAAGGTCCCTCGAACGCAGCGTCACCTTTGTATGACGCTGCAGCAAGGTCGTCGCGGCTATCCCACCCCCCCCTATCCGAATCTGCGAGAATCCTTGCAACGAGATCGACCTGTTCGGCATGGCCGATCATGTCCAAGCCGAAAGTTGCACGCCGTCTCGAGCTAGCTGCAGACCAGCCTAGGTCTGATTCCTCCGATTCCGGCCTATCGAGAGAAGGAAATAGTTTAGACGGAGGGGGTGAATGGCACATGAAAAGAGGCGACTGGGCTCAGAGCACTGTTTGCAAGACGGTCTGCTTTGTATCGTTCCGGCGCACTCGGTAGGAGGGCCGGACATATCAATGGCCGCTCGAGTCAAAGTACACACAGCATTGACAGCAGAAAACCCCCCGAAATAGCACTCTCAAGAGCACGCTCAAGAGTATGTCAAGCGAAAAGTATCTCAAGGCACAGCAATTGAATGTTGCATGAAGAAAGTTTTCGGTGCTCATACAAGTACAGTACCGAGAAATATCTGCTGTTGAGGTTCGGTCCGAATGGCGCAGGATGTAGCTTCAAACGTAAAGATTTACCAGCGCGAATTCTGTTGTAAGGACCACCCGCCAGCGTACACTAGGCAGACCGGCGATTACGAACATAGCCACAATCAAAAGAAATACCAAACACCATGGTATGCACCATCGAATGCTAGCTAGACTCGAGTGCATGAACAGCGGTTTCCTTCTCACCACAAAAGGTGACCGTTTTGCTTGAGAACCGTAGCAGCGAAGGAATGGAAAGTCGCCGCCCACACCCTATCAGCTTGTGCTCTTGGCACTCCCACGGCGATTGCGCGTTCCCTGACGTCCTGTGCTCCCTGCGGGTCTCGGTCAAACCCCGAACACGATGTGGTTTGGTATGGGTACACACGCGTGTGCGAAGAAGGAGGCCCGTCATATTTCGGTACAACTGAGGAGTAACCAAACTACGGTAGGTGACACAAGATACCACCGCCCCTGGACCGATCTTCAAAGCTTGATTACTCCACGACGAAGAGGATGCATATATGAAACGAAACGTTTTCAGGAAGCCCTCGACGAGACCTTTTCCCTCCACCATTATTGGTGAGGTCACCCTTTCTGCTGTGGAGAAATCGAGCGTTGAAGAGCGGTCCAGGGGGTGTATGTCACCTATGGTACTTGCTGGCAATTAAAACCTGTATGGCTAACCTGGGCGGTTGCGGAGAAGCTTTGTCACGCCATATTCTCTCTCTGTGAGGTCATATATACCTGACCTCGATTCTACATCGGGGTAAGTCTGGACAGTTATGTCTGGACTGGCCCTCTAGGTTTCGGCGTGAACCCCCAGCATGGCTACCACGAAGCATTCGTCAGGCCTACTCGCCAAAGCAGCACACGCTCGGAATCATCACAAGCACCTGCTTGGTAAAGGAGAGCACCAAAACGCTCTCCGGCGCCGCTGCATGAGCAGCGACCCTGCGGTGTCCCCAAAGGCCCCCCTTCCCCGCCCCCCCCTCGTCCCCAAAGACATGCAGCCGACCTAACCGCCCCACGCCTGCTCCTATCCCCGCTCCCGCTTTCTCCACAGCCGTCAGGTTATCGACGCTCAACTCCGTAGGCCTTCGGGGTTCGACGCCTAAAATACGGGCCAGCCTTGCGGCCAACGTGTGCGTCTTCCCCGTCCCCGCCCCTGCGGTAAGGAGAATCGCGGGGGTCTCCAGGTCGAGAAGAACAACATCCTCTTGAGCGGGGTCTAGTAGCACGCCTGCGTGATAATTGGGAAGCGGAGGGGGGGAGGGGGGGCGCTGTTCACGTCTGACCACGCATTCCTGGCGAGACGAAGCAATTTTCTTCTTCCGTACATCGCCATTAAATCGGCGCTCTCTGGGCTCTTGCAGTAGTTGCACACTTCTTGATTCTTATTTAGTTACGTCTCTTGTCTTCGACCATTATTTTTGGCAGGCATTTACTTCAAAGTGTGATTGCCTGAGCATATCCAATCCCTGCACGTCTCCCGTTCCCTTCTCAAGGTAATTCCCTTCATTCTGCAAAACTTCACACTCCGCAACTGCTGTGTTTGACTTGAACTCTCGGTTGGCTTCAGCAAGCCGTTACTGTCTCATCCCCGTCCGCCACACCACTAGCGTGTTTCTCTTCCTCTTTGCTTGTCAATCCCAGGCTCCCTATTTAAAGTTCAACTTTGATCGCCTTCCCTTAGTCCACCGCATCACTCAAACACGGTTTCATTCCTATCGTTCGGGAGGGAGCGCGAGGTCGCGCGGTGGGAGACAACACACACCGCACATGCAACAACGCCCGGAGCCTGCCGGTTTCACACTTTTACCCCATGGTGCCGGCAAGTTGTGCGTGATTTCAGGCAAACGAAGGTGAATTCGGCATGTTGAGCGATCAAACGAGAGCCAGCACGGCAGAAGCAGCTGCTGGCAGGTGAGGTGCAAAGCGAGAACCCCCTTTGTTCCTTGACCAAGATACCAGTAGTGCGGATGGTGCGAGAAATAACAAGGTTTGATCTTGTGCGACGAAAGAATCACTCGCCTGTCGTCGTGGTTTCGCTTGTCGGGGAAAGCGTCGTCTGCAACATGCCGTCCAGCTCTCCGAAATCCATCCTTGGTCGCCCTGGCACCCCCGACGTCAACGGCATAGTATTGGTTGTAGTCGTGCACACGCGGCTGTATCTGCACTGAAGAAATGCACCTACCCCTCTGCACGAGGCGTCCTGTGCAACATTTTTTGTTGCAGAATTCCGTAAGACAACCGGAGTCGCACTCCTCTTTCTCTTGTGTGGAGAGAATTACATCATGCATGTACTGCTGTAGTGCTAGGATCCCAGTAGCAAAGTACGATGATTTCATGATTTCATGCTGCAAAATATATCGTCTGCTCATATGGATACATAGGGCAGCAGTTCTGTAGCTGTTTCTTCAACGCGCCACGTCATGCACGTAAAACGACCATAAAAATAATTGAGCATGCCGCCAATGCTTAACGTTAAATGCGTAGATTTCGGCAAACGCACGCAAGGGTAGAGGACTTGCATGCAGGCCTCTCCTGCTGCTGGGCAACTGATGTCACAGCAGTCATCTTCATCTGCATCTGGACAGACACTGCACAGCCGTTGAACTCTCGACAAAGACGGGAGCAGATGCAGATCGCTGTAATCGGCAGGCTAGGTAATGCACGATAGCCGCAACAACAACACTAACACTAGCCAACACTCACTGGCACGACCTGAGTGAACCACCGATGATAATGGGTGGCCTCTCCGGGTACCAGCAGCACGACTCCAGTGCCCTCTCCGGTGGCGTTTCCATCGCCCAGCTGCTGCTGCGGCGCTTGCAAAGGCGGGCACCATCATATTCGATGCATTGCAAACACCAGCTGTTCGCCAAGGTCTCGGCATCTCTCGTCGTCGTTGTTCACTGGAACCGACGGCATGTCCTGTGGCGGTCCAAGCACTTGTGGCCTGGGTGCCAGCGGCAGACGCCAGCAAGAGGGTCGCCAGCAAGTGTCCGAAACCATCAGCCGGTGACATGTGCAGGCCAGCTGTAGCAAAGAGGCAGTGGTTTAGTCACCGCAGCAACACCCTCTGTACTGACTATTCAGTGAACTGGCAACTGTACAGAGACCCACTAGCCCACGCGGCAACGTACCGAGTGTCGTCTTGCGTGTGGCTGAGAGGCGAGAGAGAGAGATAGAAGCGGCGAGATTGGGAGGTTCTGGGACATTTTGTTACTTTTCGGGATTCATGCAGTTCGTGGCACGTGGCACCGCCTCTCGCCTCTCGCCTCTCGCCGAGTCGCAGGTTCTACAAATCTTACCTTGCGGTCTTCGTTCCCAACTGAAGAGCTGTAACACGAGTCCACAAAGCAGTGTTGCTCGGAATGGGCTTCGTTTTCATTGTTTGTGAGAGAAGGTAGGAGATTAGACTACTTCTTCCCCTACCTCAGTATGTTCAAAGGCACGAGAGATCTTGTATACAGCAGTACATCGTCTGTGGGCCCCGTGACGGAACCATGTATCTTTTTCATGGCCCCTCTTTCTGTCAGCATTCACAGCGATGAAAGTCAAGGCGTGACAAGTGCCTGGCAGGTACCGCCCCGATGGATCGCTCCATTGTCAATCGTTGTCACACACTGCCCCATCATGTACCTGTCAGACGACGTGCCGTCGGTCTTGGCAACCCGTGGACAACCGCGATCATCGCTGCATGTATGTCTGGGCAGTCCCTGGAGGGAACGGACAAGAGTCCCCAGCCTCTGAGGGCAGCAGGTCTTCATCAGAGTCGTGCAGAGCTGGGGTATGCAAGAGATGGGTGATGTGGTGAGACGAATTTTCGTACGGTATCCGGGGCTCTCTTGTCCACAAACTTGTTGTGCTGTTGTGATGAAGCAGAAAAGTTGTTAACGTACAAAGGCTTGGTTATCTGGGTGCGTTCTATACTGGGCGGCCTCGTTAAAATTATTTATTGCTGTGTATTGTCCGATTATCTTGCCCTCACCCATGCCGGCTCTCCTGAACCCTCTTCAACCTGTGGTAGCTAGCGATGAGGGACGGGGCTAATGTCGCATGGAACTTGTCTCAAGACGCCGAACACAACAACATTTGAAATTTGATGTCATCAGTATCCCTCGCCGTTTACCTCAAGGACATGACTGGCCTTCAAGAAGAAGTGGACCCAACCACAGCCGGTGCCGGCGTCCCCCACGGCTTGGTGGTGGGTGCTGGATGTCGCCCGCTCTTCGACGCCGTGTCTGATATAGTGGCCTTGGGGGAAAGTTCGTGTTGGCTCTTTGTGGGGACAATTATATCGCGCTATTAGGGACTTTCGTTGGCGTTCTGAGAGTGAGGCCGGATGCAAGAAAGTTTTTTTGTGACGCCCACGCGGATATAAACTCCCAGGAGGGTTCGCCAAGCGGAAGCCTGCATGGTGAGTTCTTGACTCCACAACAATAGTCCACATGTTTGTATGGAGCGGAAAATTGTTGTTGTTGTGGCTGAGTCAATAAAGGAGAATAATGCACGGTGGTGTTGGCGCTGAACTTGGCAGAGTAACATTTTCTTTCTCGGATCAACACCCGGATGAGTGAGCGGTGGTGTGTGTAATGGGAAACATGTGAACGATATTGGTTAGTGTGTCTTGGCATCATGTCCTTTGTATTAGCAGTGGTCAACCCCGGCTGGGACTGTCACACTGTCTGTTGGGTTTTCGCAAGCATGTTTCGGCCGTCCTACCGCCGGGTTTGAGCAAGAGCGTTCTGTAGATATGATGTCGATGGATGTCCTCTCCTCCAAGACGCGGAAAGTCTGCCTCAACACGCCCTTCTGGACAAAGCGAGCGCAGGACATAGTCCCAGGCCGAATGCTCAAAGTGCTTCACAGGGTTATCTGACTTTCTAAGCGTTCACTGCTCATTGCATCCCGACGTGCATCTTCTTTTCTCAGGGATGCCGCTGTCGTTCTTGATGATCCTCTCCGATCCCTCAACGCTCCCTGGCCTGGAATGGCCAGTTCCGCGGCCTGGAGTGGCTTTGCACGACTGACGCCCCTGTCTTGTGGCCCGAAAGAATCGTGTACGTTGGTCTGCGCGATGTGGGCGTCTACGAGGGGAAGATCCTGCATCTGCTCAAACAAGCGCAAGGGCACTTCGCGTCGACGACGCAGGTGCTTCTTCTGCTAGCATGTACAATGGGTGTTTCTTTGTTTAGGCTCGGCGAATGCGGCAATGCTAAGGAGAGCCCGGTCGAGGTCCACCCACCGACTTAGTCGATTTCGAGCGGCGCGATTCTGAGTCGAAGCAGGCCACTTGATGCTCCAGTGAGCGTCCAGAGTCGGTTCTGTTGTTGTTTCGGTGTTCCTCCGTTCTTGTGCAGGACGTGGATCACCTAAGCATTGGGAAGGTGATGAACTTGCCTTGCAGGGGCTCGTCGCTACGGGAAACTTGGATGAAGACTGCACCCCGCTGCAGTTGTCGTTCGACACCGATGCTGTCGATCCGATGATTTGTCGTTTACGACATCATTGAAGCCGGGGCGATCTGGTTTTAGCTATCGCACACGCGATGTGGTTGAACATTGTGGTACATTTGTTCCGAGGTCGTTGTAGCTTTAAGGACGAGTTCGAACGGTTGCGGTAATACTTATGTCGTATCGACGCACACGCGGAAGCGTTGTTGTGGCTGTACAGGCGCACAAGGAGTACGCACGAAGGGCTCTGCTTTCTCTTGGGAATGACTCCCATTTACTCCGCCTCGTGAAACCCAAGTGCTGAGGTTGAGGACGAGAGCAATGGTATTGTCAAGTGTGGTCGTGCGGTGCTTGCTTTGCTGTCGGTGACAGCCATGCCTGATGATATCCTCGACGATGTTGATGTGACAAAAGGATGGTGCTGCACGCTAGTCGACTACGAACATGTTCCCCGTACACTTTTGTTTTTTGATCCGGTGTTGTTTGCCAGTAATACCGCGAGTAGATGGTGGGTATTGCGAGAATATCGTTGCGCCCACGGGTGAATCATGTCGTGTCACTCGCTTGTCTGTGGCATTGAAGGATTTGTGGTTGTGGGCCATCGCACGTCGGATTCTAGACGCAAGTGATCTAGTATGCTGCTGTAGGATACAACAACTACCACAAGGCAATCGATCTAGTCTGTACGGGACAAATTGTGGAACTACCTAGCCGTTGGTGTTTGTACCGGGTAAAGTTTCCAGATGGGTGAACGCTGTGTTCGAGGTGATATTGTACGTGCATACGTGCATGCTTGGTTCAAAATATTTCCTGGGGGGGGGTCTATCTATGCTACCGGCAGGTCAATGAAAAGATGACACTTTGTGTTCAAGACAAAAAATATACTCATCATGACCCCGACCTAGAGTTCACCTTCAAGACAAAAAGATGCTCATCATGACCCCGACACAGTTCACAATAAAAAAAATCTCGACACAAAGGACCCCCACAAGCTCACAATTTTCCTCCGCTCTCACTTCGGAAAAATAGTGGTCCACGCCAAGCGCCCCAACAATTGGGCATCGCCCAAGATCTAACCATCGCGGCACAATCGTCCTCGCTGGTGCCCCAAAGCCCGATCCTACACGCGGTGGAGGTGGCGATGCAGGCCTCGGCAGGGCTCCTGCTTCAAAGGGGAGCTACTGGAGACGCCTGTAGGTTGACCCAGATGAAAAACGATTGGACATGCATGTGTATAGTAGCCTCATTTGCTTTCCCTATCTCATTTGCTTCTCCGTTCTCTCAGAGCTTCCAGAATAGAGTTAGTTGTGAGAGTGCGACCGGCTGCGGTAAGATCGCGGCAATGATCGCCGCTTTCTACAATGTCGACCCCCAAGTTGTTGGCGGCGAAGGGTGGGTTTGCCGCGCGAGAGACTACTGTAATGTGCTCAAGATTTGGAACATCAAAAATGGAGTCAGAAAATAGAGTCACTTACAAGATCGACTGCTGCTGCTGCTGCTGCTGCTGCCTCTCAACGAACCTTCCCACGCGTCATGGCCGAAGCCGTAGCTCTCGATCGATCAGTAGCAGTGAGGGTTCGACCACCGGCAGCGCTTCGTTGATACAACGGGAGGCGCGCCAACGAGCAGAAGATTACAATACACACGCACACCAGCTGCCGCCCATTGCGTGACTTGAATCCCCATGTGTGGATACGTGTTCAATCTCCAACATGTTCTACTGCTGCTGCTGTTGCTGCTGCTGGTGTAGTCTGCTGCTGCGGTAGGAATAGCATGCTGTCTCTTATCTCTCTCCACCCATTCCACCGAGTGGAGGTCGAACTACGGCAAGCACCCACACCGACTTCCATAATCTTGTCGCTGCAACCCCGGCTCTCTTTTTTTTGCAGCTTTCGGCCTTCGAATATCTTTGGTCGTAGAGATAAGTGAGGGAGTGCTTTTCTAAAAGGGGTAGGGCAGGGCGGTGACAGTCAGCGCGCCCGCCCGCCCGCCCGCCCTTGTCAATCTTGTGTCAAGTTTGCGCGTCATACGCATTTTGGTACTCAAGCAAGCTCCTCCGCCTTCAGCGTGGTGATGGCTTGGGGCTTTCCTCGGTCGTGTGGCTTTGAGTGTCACTTTGAGTCATGACTCATGTCTCATGGCTCTTGGCCGCGTTCGTATTGACGGGGGCTTGTCTCGGTCGCGTTGCAAGTGCGGCTCCTGGTGAGGCGTGGGTTACGCGCTCGGCTTGGAGTTCCTGGGTCTTTTATGATTGGCCTATGCCTCTTGAAAATGATACAGGCGCGAGTGGCGGCGTCGTTATCGTGAGGACCATCCGTCAATGTAACCGCCAGGGGCGTTTTTCGGTAGATAGACAATCAGGAACCTGAGGGGTGTTGATTAGATCAACAGCCTGAAGGTGCTGATCAAAAATCCCTTTCAAGGGTGCACTGGGGGGAAGAGGAGAAGGTTGGACACCGATCACAACCTGCTCTGTGAAGGTTGGGTGGAGAGGTTGGGGAGACGAGAGATTGATCGACCTTGAACGCGTTGTTTGTCTGTGGTGCCAGCCCGCCGTGTTAAGTAGTTGGATCAACGTCACTATCATGCGAGATGCGGGACTAGCTGCTCACTTCGGCGTGCAACCTCCACTCAGCCTGACCTCTGGCCACTAGTGCCTTGTTAACCTTGCCGCTGAAACCTGCGGCATGGCTACGCTTTTCGAACATCCAACATCCACCTGCGCTGCGGCCTTTCACCTTCGTTCACAATTCCCAGCCGTATCGTACTGGAGGCGTAGCTCATGCACTGAGCGTCTCTCAGGGTAATCGAGAGAGAGGCTCACGTGTGGCAGTGCAAGCGCACTGTATGACTTAGTTAGGTGTTTTGGTGTTTGGGTGTGTCCGCCCTTTTTCATTCATGTTTCGGCAGTAGAGGGGTCGGCGTAGCCGCGTTCCTGAAATTGCGCGGCCGTTGACCTCGTCTATTCCCGCCGCCCGTCCCGCGTCGCGCTTCTCTCGGCATGTACGCGTTGGTGTTGTTGTGCTCTGAATATCAGGTATCGCTGGAGGTTTGTTTTTCCCGCAATGTGCCAAACGAAACATGGAGAAAACGAGGGACTGCACAGGAGGGGATGGGGCAATTAATGATCGACGAGAGGTGACAGAAAAAAAAACAAAAAAATCGCCCGCTCGGAAGGACCAAGGCCAAGAGACCATCTTTACTGCCAAGGCCCCGCACCTCATGTTTCTGTCACAACTAGCCCTAATTGGGTTCGAATCTTGTCGGGGTCCATTCGGTAGAAGAGAGTTGAGCACAGGCTGTAGTTGAAAGCGATGTGACCACGTCAGATTTTTTTACGTTGCTCTCTTCGGACTACCCTACCCGTTGCTTATTGTTCTTTCACGTTCCTTAGCGTGTGGGGTCACGTGTAGTCTATACGATGTGAAATTATTATTGAGCTGGTGCAGTATCAGTAGATGTCACCCTTTTCGCAATTTTGAGGTCACGGGTTGAGAAGGAAGGGCGAATTTTCAGAGGGTAGGTTAGCACAGTATAGAACAGATGCGTCGTGGGCACGGCGACGTCGGTTGGCAAGTTCTATATCTACCACCGCTTTCTCAACCGGTAGACATGTGGTGTGGGGAACATACATGTAGTTTACCTTTAAAACCAACACTAACGCGCCGTCACATAATTTTCGTCCAATAAGGGCATGGTTTTTATCTGTAGAGATCACGGCCATCATGGAGAGTAAGCATAAGGAAGCTGTAGGCTGCGGGCTGGAACCTCAATGTTGTGACTTGAGTTCGAAGTTCGAAGGCACACGCAATTTTTCAACATCACGAGATGGTTGTCGTGGGTCGCACAACCCGTATTCGCTTGATTTGACTACAGATTGCGCGCGTCCCGTTGCAAAGTTTCAGTGAGACACAAAGGCACTAGGCGATCCCTTATAATTGTGTTCACCGACTGTTGTTGCTACACTCTGTAGCTCTTGCTTGGGGGCGTCCGCAGACATGACCTAGACCATGAAGAACCTGTCCTTCAATATATAGACCCGTTTGCGAGAAAGAAAAAAAATGCCAAAATCGACAAGCTTGGCATCATCTGGAACAATCGACAGTCGACTGGCATGTGCTGTTGATTAAACGTACTGGAGTACGCAGCAGAAGCATAAGTAGACAAATGACATGAACAGGCTTACTGCGAGCAAAAACAATCAACAGGAAACTGTACGTACGGCTAGTGAACGAAGCGTCGCTCAAAGACAGGTACCTGCAGGGAGCCTGGTCAACAACTGCATGATCGAAGAATCGAGCTTCTGTGTCTAATACTTGTAAAAGTAATCTATCGACCTACGTCCCAATGCAGCAGGAGCAGCGCAAGCAGCAACAACTGCTGCTGTTACCCATCAAACCGGTTATCGACCAAAGTAGTATCACCGCCTAAAGAAATCCCTCCCCCCCCCCCCCCCCCCCCA